TGTCAGTTTTAACCCAAAGGATTTGTTTTCAGTTTCCCTTTTAAATTTACAATCATTTAAAATACAATCAGCTCAGCAAGGCTGCCATTCAAGACAATTTCTCCTCAAACAAGACAGCCCAGATGGACAAAGCTGATTGCAATTAAAGGTACAGGCTGAAAAAACAAACTTGATTTAGGGAATGTATACAAAATGGCTTGAAAACTTCAGTACTAGTGGCATTTTGGAACCATACAGGAAGAAGATCAACTTAATCCATGTTATAAAGACTTTTTAGTTATACTTTTAAAGCAATTCTAAAGAAGGCAGGTTTGCTTCCAGAGAATTCTGTTAGTTTCATCTTTATTAAATACGATGGGACATCTCCCACAAGCACAGTAAAAAAAAAAATAAAAAATATTAAGCCCGAAGTTAAGTGATGTTCTTTTCTCAGCCATGGGAGAAATTTTTTAGTCCAGTAAGTATAACTTCAGAGTGAAATAAAAAAAAAAGAGAAACTAATCAGTGCCATGAATCAGTCTTTCTGGGGAACAACAAGGCTACGCGAACTGAGATCTAAATTGCTATCAACGTTAGAAATCCAGCCCGGGGATCTGACACTTGCAGATGAAACAGTGTGAGACGAAAATCCGCTGAGCAGGGTAGACAATTTCTTGCTGCCCTCTGCAGGGTGGCGTTCAGCGTTGCCACCTACAGCTGAAGCCTGGGAAGTGATAAATAGGCTCACAAAATAATCTGTGCTTTTTCAGAGGAATTTTTACAATTTACTGGTGTATTGTTACTTCAACAGCAGTCTGTACTCAATTTATATCTATTAATATTGCATTTACAAACGCAAATCAACATTACTCCAGTTGATAAGTCCATTATAGTTATGCTCATAGTTTCATTTCTGCTTTCTCAGTTAGAAAAAGAAGTCACTATATATCCAAATCGCGTAAACTGGGCACAGTCAATTCCACAGAGTCAAGTGCATGTTGTAACTGATGCAGGGCTCAAAGAGCAGCACTCTCTCTCTGATACACAGCAGTCCACAGAACAAAAAGTCACCCCCGATGCCTTACAGAGCACGGCTGGGGCTTTCTTGCTTTGCAGGGAAAGAAGTCTGTTAGACTGTGCTTTCTGCTCCATGTATGTGTTCTGGACACATGCCAAAGTTAGTTTTGATGGAAATACTAATCCCTATATCACTCCATCATACAGGAATAAAAGAACAGGCCCTCTTTCTCACAACCTCGCCACCAGGCTTCCACTCTTCAATTGCTTGCTACGTACTAAGACGTTACAAGGAACTGCAAGGTACCAGAAGAAAAGACTCTGCCAAGCTCTCGTCCTCTTCTGCTCTCAAGAAAAGACTAAGCAAATATCACTGTCATTCACTTCCTCCTTCCAAACTAATGCACAAATTATTTCAGTCTCATACATTGAACGATTTCAAAAAAAAAAAAAAAAGGAAAAAAAAGTCTTCCAGTGGTAACTGTTAACTCCTCACTTGAGAACAGACAAACATGGGTCCTGTGCTCCAGTATCAGTCAGTATCAAAACACAAAGCCATGTAAAAGTTCTTGAGAAATAAGTGATTAACGAAACACCAGCATTAGTAGAAGACTATTGTTACTCAAGTGACCAGCCATTCAACCCACTTACATACTGCATTTGAGAATGTTTCCTTTAATTCCAAAGCAAAGGCAAGAAGGGTATGGTTCTAGTTCCAGCTATTCTCTTAGAGACTTTATGGAGGTATTTTGTGTTCCCATCTCCTCATTTGCCACAACACAAACAACAAGACAAACATATTAGCAGTTTCAGGAACCTTAATCCACTACTGTTGGCAGGACACAGATTATATACTGCAAGACACTATATAAGCACAGGTATTTTCTTTGTCATTACATGTCTGATTTTGCATGAGAATGTTATAAAGAAACTGTGAGACTGGAGGATAATATGCCCATATACAAGAAGGTCTGACGTGGAGAAGGCTTTGTTGGGAGGCAGTCTTAAGCACATAGCATTCCTACTGGATGCAGCAGGCACTACTATGCTTCCACATGTGTATCTGCAAAATGTGCATCATTTATCTGTAATTCCTTTATACTGAAATACGTACACCCAAACCAACTCATTCTGTATTTGGCATGGCTAATTTTGTTAAACGCCAGTATTAGATGTGGAATCACAAACTGCAACATAGAAATACAACAGAGAAGCTGGAAGGAGGAAGAGTTTTGAAAGCTATCCAAACCAATTTGACAGCATCAAATGAAAAGGAAAGAAAACTATAAGTTACACTGACACACATGGATCAGCATGTCAAAACTGGCAAAGCTTGGCAAACAATGTGAAGTTTAGAAATTAAATACTTCTTCTCAAGCAATCATTAGCAACAACATAGATCTATATAATACAAACAAGAAGTCTAGAAATGCATTGACTCCTTACAGCCAGCACGTGCCCTCTCATTTCCAGAGGTCAAGCGTGGTCAATTCAGAAACAGCTCAGAAGCAGTCTAAGCAAAGCTTTGGAGATAGTGTAGCATTTCTGGCCTTGGGCAGAACTCTGCAAGCAAGCCAAAGGACTTGACGTGACTCAAGCAGTGAAGAACACAATCCAACTCAGAAGCCAAACTTAGTTCTGACCAGGGTCAACCTCATTCATCAGCATCATCAAACTGGCCAGTCTCAGTCATTCTAACTGGTGGCGTAAAAGCAAGGCAAGCTGCATGGTGACAGCCTGGGTTGTAAAACGAATCCTCTTGCCATGAGTATGAGGCCAAAAGATTATTTTCCTGAAAGCTTCCACAGTAGAGATCGCCAGCATCTAAAGAAGACCAAAGAAAAGATTTAAACCATGGTAGATACTTAGAAAACTAGTGGTATAGTGTAGCAGATTATTTTGCAGGTCTACAGCATCTTCCAGTTAAGTACTTCAATCTAATCTGCCAGCGCTCATGAATTAGACCTACAAACGAAGCAAAGCGAAAGCTGAATTTGGCAACGTCTTTGTTTTAAGGAAGGTTCTTGCCACAGAGATGAAACGGTTTTCCAAAAAGCTCAATGATATACCTGGATTCAGAACTTCCCACATGAGCTTTTACTATGCATGCAGTTTTTCTATGTTTTCTCCAGGCATAAAAGACTCATGAAACCATTACTTTTCTTTCTCCTCCCCCTTCCTGCTGTCTCCATAACCACATCCCAATTAGGAGCCCTCCAAACCCTCTGAGAACTGGGTCACTGGACAGAATAGAAGGGTGGAGTCCTGTAAAAGCGAGCTCTGAACATTTCCACTAGGCTAGAACTAAGCCTAATACGCCAGTTATTTAACCAACCTAGCACAAAAATAGGGCCAAGTCCTTTAACAAGCAAAAGATTTCCAGCCAGCAGACCCTGAAAGGACACCCAATGAAAAGCCCAGAGTATGTGGTACCAGAGGACCCAACACAGTATATCCACTGTCAGCTTTCCAGTAGCACTGCCAAACAAACCATCAAAGCAAGTGTTTTTCAATGGTTTTTAAAAAGCCACAAAATGACCGACCAAGCACATTTTTTAGACACTCATAGTCAGTATCCTTCACAAGCACCTGAATCCCATAATCATAGCTTCCTTCAACTAAGTTTGTGAGGATTTGAAGAGCATAAGCTACAGGTAGGGATGAGTTAGTTAAATAAAGGAAGAGAACTCATGACAGTTCCAGTAAAAAAAAAAATTCAAAACACTTCATAAATTTGAGCATATGAGAGATTAAAAGGAAAGCCCAGCATGGAAGAGAGGGAAACATCCAAAAAGGAAACAGTCTTTTTCTCAGATTATCCAGTGTGAAAAAACACTACTGTACTTTGATTTTTAAATCAGAATGATTTTATAGGAAGGCTGTAAAAACTTTCCTGCTTCCTTCTGTTATCAAACAATGGAACTTGAATACAACAGCCATTTATGGAAATAAAATAAACAAGAGAATCAAAATTTCCTAAGCAAAGAAAGGAGTGTGTCTATTGATTACTAAAGATACACATGAATGAGAAGAAAATGGAAATGGTACTATTCTGCACCAACAAAGACACAGCAGGTTACCACTGCTGGCTAAACTCCATCCACTTGTTCTATCCTAACATATAGCCTGGCAAATGGAAAACGGAGACTCTCAGCTCAACATGAGTCACTGTACAACAGTTTACAAACCAGAGGATTAATACAAGTCTGAAGATGCAGATGAAACTGCTTCTGCCCTATTACCACCTTTGTCCATGGGACTAATCACATGCATGATCACTTAAGAGAATCAAGCTTCAAAAAACCAACCAACCTAACAAAAAAACCCACAAAAATCCATAAGAAAAAAACCAAACAAACCCTACCACACAACAAAAATACCTCTACAGCAAAAGCAACAACAAACCATATTCAGGACAGAGACTTGAGTGCTTGTACTGCTCCCTTCCAAAGAACTCCATGCTCTAGAAGGACATAACAGTGTGTGGTCTGGATGAATTTTCTTGGAGGAAAGGAGGAACTACATTTATACAAAAAAGTTACATTCCTGCACTCCATGTACCTTTCTCTTCTGCTTCAGAATAATGAAGATACATGACTGAGTCCTAACTTCTCCAGAGAAGCTCAAGACACATGTTCAATTCCTCTCCTTACCATTCCACTCCCTCAGAATTCCAGTGCTCACGCAAGAGTTGCATGTGAACTTCAGAACACTGCCTTTAAACAGCCTGTATTTGACAACAGAATTACGCGTTACAAATCCATGAGGTCAACAACAACAAAAATGGCTTCCCAAAACAGAACACGGAGTTATTTAAACACATTCTCCTGCAAAGCACCTACTTCTAACCACATACTATCCAAAAGTCAAACAAAGCACAAGTAAATTTGTACTCACCATAAGGATCACATTCAGAGTCCTCCAATTCTTTGTCCCAGTCCTCCACCTCGAACACAGAAGCAGTTTGCAGCTCTGGAAAAGTTACAGCCTCAGGCATACTGGAGTCTTCACCACTCACGCTTTCCAGGTGAGGACACATACGATCACAGTCAACAGGAGAGCCACTGGCATCGTTTTCATTGTGAGAGATATCAGAGAATTCACTTTCTTCAGACTCACTATCAAGAACATTTGGAATATTCTTCAGCAAATAGTCTAAAACCAATAGAAAGAGCCAACACAGAGACTTAGGAATTAAATGGGAAACAGCATGCAATAACTTAGGTTATGACTGCACTTCTTGACTACTAATCTAATGATAACATATGCTATTTCTTACACATGTAATACCGCTACAGTGCTGCTTTAGGTTTCAGATAATGGGGAACATCAGACACAGGTTTCCATCACACCACCAGCCCAAGTTGGGATTTTCACAGGCTCTTCTTGGAAAATATCTCTTCAAACTAGGGAAAAGGACCCAGCAGCTCTGTTTCACCACGTTCATCTGTTGGTATTTTTTTAAAATAGGTATGTTGAAAAACCACAGCTTTGGTTTAAAAAAGCGGGATTTTTTTTTGTTATATTTATTAATTATTCTTGCACCGAGGCATACAAAAGTCTACACAGAAATAATTTAGTGCAGTAACTGAAGAGGCATTTCCCATGCATCACCAAAGAGTTTTAAGTATATTTCCTCAAGCAGAGTGTAAGTTTCATTACTTACCATCTGCTTTTTTTTTTTTTTTTGCCCCTAACATTTTAGGCTTACCTTTCCTGGGTT